ACTTCAAAAAGGCTATTGGATTGTTGTTCCATTATTGTTGAAGTGAGTGTAATCAGGGTAACAAAATTATTGCAAAATCTCAAAGTCATTTATTACACATGACAATTTGACAAACTTAGCTGATAAAGACTCAGTTTACGTTTTCTAAGGAAAATCCCAGAAAAAAATGGACAATCTAAAATATGAAAACATTGTGAAAAAAAATCAAATCAGCGGATATGTGAATCCGTATGTAACGAGCTGCAAATACGCAGGGGTCAACCATAGTTTTAAGTTGTAACATCACCAATTACCACTAAATGGCAGATATGTCTTAGTTGGGCTGACACTGGGTCTCCTACTCAAGTGGAATAACAAACATTTTGAATTAATTGATGTTTTTGGGGGAAAATGGTGTCCAAAATAGGTTCTTGCACTTAATGTTTTGTTGTTCATCAGTTTTGTGCCATCCTTGATTTGTAATTTTTTTATCCAAGAGAGCCCTTTGCAGTTGAAAAAAAGTACAGTATGTGGTTATTTTGTTGTTTGCTTCAAACCCATTGTACCCTTTGTTGTTGTGTTATGAAACTGGAATTTAAACATGCATTGAAAAAAATGTCCTCCCAAAAATGAAATATATTAAGGGCACATATTTTGCGGGTGTATTCATGTTTTTTTCACATATTTTGTCCTTATTTAAAATACCGGTAGTATTGTTGTCATTCATCTCTTTCGGGAGTGTGTGTTCCTATGTGCTTCCCCAGTGGCACTGATGACAAATTTTGGCCCCTCCAGCCTTTAAGTTGCCCATCGCCAACACCATCATATTAAGGAGCATCTCAGGTGTCTCAAATGTGCATCAAGTCGTCTGTATCAAACATCAAGGTGCTTCCATTGAGGAGTTGTAGTTGAGGAGACTCCCAGAAGTCTCCCAGCTAGATTGTAACCAAAACAGGACTTCAAATGAATAGCCAATATTTTGTTTTTAATCATTGCTTGATTGATTTAGTTTAAATATACAAATATCGCTGAGTACCTGTTTTAGTCTGGGCAGTACTGTATTGAATTTGCACATTACTTTTTACATAATACAACCTTTTCTACTAAATGAAATCTAAATTTGTTCTCTGCATTTAAGATCATCAAAAAAAGAAAAAAAGTTGTAATGGATCCATATTGTTTTTGCAGTCCATGTAATGCATATGCATCATATCAACACTGTATTTCATCAATAGAGGACGTGAGAGCCTCCCCCTCCCGCCCAGCTGATTCAACTTGAAAAGCACAAAAATTAATACGAATATGAAAAAAAAAAAAAAAACATTAGAAATTTTTTTAAAATAAATATAGATAGAGATAAAGAGAGAGAGTGAGAGCAAGAGAGAGAGAGAGAGAAACAGATAGCACGGTTAAAATCCAGAATAATCCGGATTGGAGTGGACAAACCCCCCCCCGCCCCCCAAAAATGTCAAATAAGGACGCTTGATACACAGAGCCAGGATAAAGCGTAATGTACACAAAACGCTTGCAAAAAGCAAGAATGAGTGACGTAAATCACTTGACCTCAACATACAATGAAATCCAATTAATAAAAAAAAAAAAAAAAAAAAAACAAGCACCATAAACAAAGTAACTTAAATACTACTTACATGATGAAAAAAACATGGCATGAACAAGAGCAGAAACATCGTAGAAAGGGTTCTGTCAGTCATCATCTGTACCTGTGGGTAAAAAACAAAAAACAAAAAAGGACGTTTCGCTTCTCTCACAGAAGCTTCGTCAGCGGTAGAC